CTAGTGCGACTGTTCTATAATGGCACAAAGTATGGATGGGTTGGCGCTGTCTTTTTCATCTCTCTGCCTTTTGTTAGCATGTTGAGAGAGGCAAAGAGAGAGGGAGTGGGGAAGGAGAAAGACGAGGAGGGTGCTGGGGATTGGACCCGGTCCCTGCACACCCAATTAAAGGAATCTTCTGCTCAAAGACGCAGTCTGGCAACATGTGTTCTGACATTTGTCTTCCTGAGTGTTGTGATTCACGGTACCATGGAGCTAAAGGCTAAATTAGCAGCCGCCCCGGCATCAGAGACCGCACAGCGGCGTCTCATGGGTGAGGACTGTCAGGCAGGATCAGGCGGTCTTGTTTTCATCATCACGTTCAACGGCGCTCTGCAGGCTGGCGACCGCGTGGCGCTGTGTTGACTGGCGAGTCAAAATAACGATCGCTTGGAACGCAGCATCTGCAGGTTACATTCTGCGCCATTGCCATGTTAACAGCATCTTAATTGACACCAAATCAAGGGAAAAGACATATTTGGAAACATGATTTTTTTTAAAGCACCGTGCTGTTTAGCCTGGATCAGTGAAACCCATGTGGCCATTATTTCTCAACCTCGGCTACAGTTCTGACATTAGATAGACTTCAAGAATGATGAAGATTTAATTATAAATGTACAACAAAATTCAGGTAGTTACTGTGGTTCAGGGATAAGCAGAGTGGACAGTGGTTGGACGTCTTATACTCAGTAGGTTTCATTTACATCCACGTACACTGATATGCGTCCATCTGCATTATTCCATCCTGGATATGGGACATTTTTCTATCCTCTGAAACTTCAAAACATAAACCGTAAACGCGATCCTCCTTCCCCCGGACTGCTTTGATCTCGTCCCGTGGGGACCGGTTTGTGCCGCAAAGGACCATCCGACAAACCTTAGAAGCTTAGAACCTCGCAGCGCGTGCAATTACCCACATGCAAAACCTTGACCTTGCAAATGAATTTACCTGCCTCTGAGCTTCACCTGTGCATTTAACTTGTCGCACACAAACAAAAACAGACGCGGTGATACACAAACTTGAATCCACAATGCCAATTAAAAAAAAAAGAGTCCCACTGATGATAAATGCACAGACAGCAGAGTTAGCGTTGAGTCGCGGGGGGACGATCCATCCCAGCAGCCGCTGCAGAGGTGTGATCTCACAAGGTGAGAGGATGCTGGAGGAGAAGGCTGCCTTGCGGTCAGCAGGGAGGCGGCGGGCCTCAGGGAAAAGCTCTTAACTTCTGTCAGGCACAAATAACCGTGTCATTTTTCACCTCCTGATTTTAACTGAGAAAATCATTCCGGTCCCCAGTCATATGAACTCTACACACATGCCATGAGTCAAATCTGACTCTGACAGAAAGGAGTTCACTCTGGACCGCAAATCTTTATTTCTTCCCTTTTTTTCCCCCCCAGTCCAGAGAATATTTTGGATTATTGTGTGTAAATATACCCTCTTGTAGACCAGAGGAAAGCCTTATTCTCCAGCTGTATCACTGTGTATAAATTAGTGAAATGTGGCCACTCTGGCTGTCTTAGTTTCACAAGCAAGCAGAATATTTCTATTACCGAAGCAATATCCTCATTAGATCGTCAGGTGGCGAATAAGACCTCTTTTATTCCCTAATATTCCTAAAACGTACACATTTTTAATTTATGTCGCAGATCATATTCATGCACCTGTGATTTAGTATGCTGAGGAGTTATTTGTACGTACACGTGGGCACAATGCACTACACACCAAAGAGTGTGGACGCAGTCATTTGCTGTGGTCAAGCTGCTGATAGGTGGTGCTATTGGGGAGAAGCTGCACACTGACAGTGAAGAAACACTGTGGATTGATCTGTATTGACCAAAATCAAAAAATGCGTAAGGCCATAGAATTTGGATATTCCCCTGCATTATATTTACTGTACAATAAACAGTGTCCACAACGTTTTCTGAAACAACAGCAATGACTTTTAAGCCTTCACTTGAGGCGCTGATTCTTAAAGTGAAAATATATAAGAGCGGGAGCCCCCCGTCGCCATACATCACATCATTTAAAACTTTGAACTGTCTGAAACGTGTCACTCCGTCTCTCTCTTGATACGTTCATCTGTCACAGTGAAATCATAAATACAATCTTCCCCAATGTTGGCTCTTTATTCTGTCAACCATTTCAAAATGTGAATGTGAATGTGCCTCTTCATTTCCGAGGCATGAATAAGTGAAAGGCCATTAATACGTCTCTTTCATTACACTCTGCACTGCATGAGCATGCAAAGAGCTGTGTCTGCCGGGCTCGGGTTCTGATGTCCGATTTGTACGGCAAAAAAAAAAAAGTCACCACACCCGCATGAAAAAGTGTAATTCTGAGAGTTTGTACTACCAAAACCCAGTGCAGCACAAAGAGAAGAGGACGTTTCTCAGTGATTTTCTGAGTGAATTACTTTCTTGTAAACACAGTTGATCTCATCTTTTCAAAAAGATATTTACAAATGATTTAAAATCCACAGCATACAACCTGCTCTACACTACCTGGTTTAGGTATTTAGATTTCTAGCAAACACTAACACGAAATCAACTGAACAATACCAAAACTGGTCAAACGCAGTTTTCTCATGCTAACGGCGGCCGACGCTGACGTGATTAGAGGGGAAACTTTTTGGTGAAGGGTGTCCTGTCTGGTGTCTCTGGTGTCTTCCTCCAGTGCACTCCTGATTTGAAATATAGCCTTACATAATGAAAAATAGAGCGGTGTTGCACCCCTGAGCCGGTGTCAGCTTAATCAATCATTTTTAAACACAGGCGGGTATGCTTACTCTACTCGCTTCACATCCGCCACATCCTTCTCCTGCTCAACAATGTGACAGCAGCATAATTCATTTTAACTCATAAATTAAACGGGCGGCGTCGAACTTTCCCTTGCATCCTTTTGGTTAAAGCGTGATGGCCTGGATTGAAGTTTTTAGTTGCTTTTGCTCGTACAAATATATTGCATCTAAAATCTGCAAATTCTAAATTAAACGTTGTTTCGCATCCTTATGTCATGCAGACTGAAGATGTGTTTAGATGTGTAGGCAACAATATACAGTTCAATTTAGAGTGCCTGCGTTTGTTTAACCGTGTACTCATAGCAGATATGCAGGCCTGCTGTTTAGTGTATTCCAGAGGTAAAAGTGCGTTTGCGTCTCTTTCAAGTGGAAGTTATTTCGGCTCCGATGCTGAACACGCAACAGGCGTGGAATTGGAGAGGAGGGTTGGCACGGTTAAATTGCACTGGGTCAGGAGGTTGGGGAAATTTGCATGAGCTGAAGCTGAGCAGGAGGAATGGAACTTGCCTCTTCGCTTGGCAGTGAGAGATTCCTTCTGGTGCTCTTCCGGCCTCCAGCGCCGCGCAGCTCCAAAAGTTATATCATACTGTTGTTGGTGAGTTACACGCAAGGAGAGCTGCACTCGAAACGGATTCCTCCGGTGACTCAAATTTTAAATATTGACTTTGGTTTTGGAGGCTTTTGCGTAATCATTATTTCTTACCTGGATAAAATATCTGACTGTATTGGCTCCATCTTTTATTTCATTTTTCCACAGATGAAAATGCTCAGGGAATTTGTTGACTCAATTACTACTCAGTGACATCGTGACAAGTATTAAGTGTGTGTTTTTTTGCTTTGTCCCGATTCAGAATTAATATGATACAACGCTGCAGTCGCCGGACTAAATATTGTAAACAAACATCACGCGTGAGCAAACTGTTCGGTCATTGGTCCAATTTTAATGCGGCTATACTTTTTCTCTTTAAGTGTGGGGGATTGGTGGTGCATGAACCCAGTTGGGATGTCGGAGGGGGGTGTGGCCTAAAAAGTTTGGTAACCGCTGCATTAACAAGAGAGAAAGTACGTTGCTTTAACTTCCGCTAATTGCCAGCAGATTGTAGGTCCCACCGCTGTTGCATGTGGATGTGGTCAAACACAGAGTTGTCTACGAGTATTGGTTTGGCTATGCTTTGTTTTTCCATTTGTGGACTGGAGGCGCACAGATTCCAACTACAACCACGGGTGGTGGAGGACCCACTCATTCACTGGTGCCCTATTTAAAACAAGTAACTAATAAAAGCATTTTTTTAAACACCTCATTTACACTGCTATGTAACTTTTTGACACTGGGACCCCACTGACCTGTCAGTTAGAAGTCTGCCTCTGCACCGAGGGGCCGGGGCCATGTCACAGAGCACGGTGCGTTTGCAACAAACGGTGCATGCATGCCCAGGTGTGCACGCCGCAGTGTAGCTGGAAGCGCGTTCACTCCCAACCGCTGTGGATCCCCACTTTAATCAGAGCACCGTTGCCCTTTTACAGGAATCCCACCACGGTGCATTCATTGGATCGAGCAGTCTGAGACACTCATGCGGTCCGCTCCACCCACAGGACGCGGAAGAGGAGGAGGAGGATGATAATGATGATGATGATGATGATGATGATGATGATAGTGGGGATGATGATGAAAATAATGAGCAGAGCTGCAACTATCCGTCTTTGAATTTTCAGGCATGAAAAGTTTGTTAACGGGAGTTTGTTAAGTTTATCTGCTGCAAATCACCTCCAGCTTGTTTCTAACTCGCAAATATAAACTTTATTGTGTATTGTAAATGGATTGATTGGATTATTTACTCCCAACGTAAATGTGTGAGATTTTCAGATTTTCACAGCAAAAAGCTAAAAGAAATACTCATTATTTTCAGTTCAGTTTTAGTTGCCTTATTATGGTATGGATCGTGATCAAATTCAGCTGCAGTCTATATATTCCACCTTTTTTTTCTCTACTCTAACAATTTGCATGAATAATCCGCCACATGTGGAACATCTGCCGAGGCAGGTGAGACTGACGTCGTGGATCACTGCGCAGGGTCGATCCGCGCTGGATTACTTTCAGGCCTACATCTATTCTTCGGCTATTGACAACCTCTCCCTTCCCAGCGTGCAGGAGCGGAGCTCTCACTAGCGCTGCTAGTGGACAATCAAACCCCCGCACCCTCCTCCAGACACACTCGCGTTTCTCATTTCTTACTTCTAGTCTAAATTAGACCGCGAGACGCAGGGACGGAGCTGGCGGATCGCGCAGAATTAGTTTGACAGCACCAGCGGCAGTTTAAAGGCAGCGAAACCCGCAAATTCAACATGGAGTCCCCTCCAGATCCAGTGAGCGACCCGGGCAACAGCGCCTCGGAGCCGGCTACCCCGGTCAGGGAAACCCCGGTAAACCTGGAGACGCTCCGGAAGGCGGACCAGCCGGCCCCGGTTCGGAGGCAGACCTGCTCCAGCACCAACCGAGGTGAGCCGGACGCGTCCGCTTTCTGCCGGGGGACGAACGCGCAGACCGACCGCGGATTCTGCTGCTTCTTCTTTTATTTTACATCAAACTTCAAAATGAATTAAATCGCTTCCCCATGAACACACACACGCACGCACGCACGCGCGCACACACACACACACACACACACACACACACACACACACACACACACACACACACACACACACACACGCTGTCAGCATTTACCGACCCGCAGGGACGTGGCTTTTATTGCGTTTAGCCGCGGTTTATTTTGTATTTTATTTTAGCCGTTCGCTTGTAATTACTGGCTCGGTGTGTTGCTGGTTTTCAGGCTCCACTGACAGCTCGAGTCATGGGGGGTGGGTGGTGGTGGTGGTGGTGGTGGTGATGGGGGCGGGGGGGGGTGATTCGGTCGCACGTTTTCTCCCGACTGCGAGATAAATCAATTACCCAGCAACTTCCCATCGGCCAGCGGGAGCTTCCGTCCGCCCGGACGCGATGTGGTCAAAGTGTCCAAAGTGAACTTTTGCAAACTGTGGACTAGTTTATCGATCGGTCCCGTCCTCCCTTTCGCGGGGACAACGTCCTCCGCGGTTGCTGCTTAATGCACAAAGCGTCGCTTGGGCTCGGTTTGGGGATTTAAAAAAAAAATATATATTTTTAACACACCTTTTTTTTGTCTATCCCTGCGTGCCCACACGAAAAAAAGCCGCACAAGCAGCTGGAATTTGCTCTCAAAACGCTGCTGCGGGCGTGAGGGGCGCCGCGTGCCTTCTCAGCCGCCCGGAGCCGCCGAACCAAAACCACGGCCACGTTATCGGTCAAGCCGTCGACCGCGAGCAGCGGGAATTCTCCACCACCGCGTCCCGTCCATGTTGTACAGTGCGGGCGGTGTTTAGCCACGCCCCCTCCCCGGCCGTCTCCCGCACGGTGTAAACGGGCTCATCCGAGTTCAAAGAAACGCGGATTTCTCCACTTTATTTATTTTTTGCTGACAGTTGGGTTTGCACGTTGCGGGGAGGCGATCGATGTGCACGTGGCAATTATTTCGTTTGCACGATGTTTATTTATTTTTGTCGCTGCGCGCGCGGGTATATTTAGAGTGATATGGTGAGCGTGGAATGTAAGCTGGTTATGTAACCGGTTTAGCCATAAACACAGGCGCGCAAACGCAAGAGCAGAAATCATCACAGCAGATCGCTTCACTTTATGGGCAAGAGGTGACCCCCCCCCCCCCCCCTCTCCGCGGACACTACGACACTTGAATCAGACAAAAACAACAACAACAAAATCATTGTACTTCAGCCGGTATTTGTATCCACTGAAGAGAAACTGTTACTTTGTGGTTTGTGCACAGCAGGCAGCACTTATGTAACAGTGAGGCAAAGACAGGTTGTTGGGAAGCTTCGTGCATTGACAAAGTCTGACTACTCTTAACCTGCTGACCCATATTCACCTCATCCTTTTATGCAAAGGATTAAAGTGCATCTGGGAAAGAAAAAAGAACGCCTTCAGTCAGTTATGTAATGCTAAATGGGTGAAAAACAACAACAACAACGACACATGTTCGGCGGGACAACCTCTGCAGTTTTGTGCAAAGACCAGAGACGTTTGCGAGGGAAGGTTTGCAATAGAGGGAATTCAGAAACGTTTTTTAAAACTAAAAATTGAGTCATGATAAAACTCCCAACTTGATTCATCATTTGATGTTTACCTGCTGCGTCGAATGTGCGTTTGCTTATCGCTGAATTCTGTCATATGGGAGATGCGGCCATGTGGAAATGTTCAGAGCAGGTTCCACGCAGGAGGGCGGAAATAAAGTTTGCTTCCACGAACAAACGAGCGCCTGATGCTTTATTTAAAGTACACGTGTTCTATTAACGGTTGGTATCAGGGGTGAGCGCAGTTCAGCGCAGATTACTCAACATACAAAACGCGGCGGCGCTACAGGCCTGTGAGGCTTTTCCCTTTTTGGGATTACAGCCTATGCAGGCTTTTGAAGTCAGCCACTGAGACCAACATCTGAAAGGCGGCAGACACTTCAGTTTCCCTCTTTACACCAGCTGCATTAGACCTTCTGAGGATGCACATTTCTTATCCTGCACGCAGAGCATTTACTGTTTCAACCCCGAGTGCTAATACCTTTTTAAGTAGAAAAGGGCTTACCTCAGCAGAAACTCTGCCGTAAGACTTGACTGGGTCAGAGTGGGCCTTGGAGGGCTGTGGGTGTCGTTACTGGGGGGGGGCAAAAGGGAAGGGGGGGTATTTTCATATTGTAAGTACCCTGGTTTGCAAATTTGGAAACAATCCATATTAATGTTTTGGTGATGTAAGGTCACGGCCTCCGCAGTGCCTTGAACCTTCACGTGTGCTCGGGAAAGCTCTGAAGCCACACATCCGATAAGAGCCCCGGAGCCCCGTCAGCATGAGTACATTTGAAAGTGTGTGTGTGTGTGTGTGTGTGTGTGTTCACATCTCGTGTGTCGAAGTGGTTTAGTGCCCCTAGTGTGACGCTGACCACCAAACTTCTTTTCTTGCGCTGCTCACTTGCTTGTTATTGAGTCATCCGGACGTCATGTTGCTTCGCTCGTGATTGTTGAAACACTTTTGTCGCCTTTTTCTTTGTCAAAAGTTGTAATGAGCTGAAATGCGATGTGGTTTCTTTATATCAGAAAATTTCACCTAAATTTCATATCTGCATTGAATTTCTTTTGATTTTATTCTGCTAAATACCAGGTTTGAGTTTATTATCTCACAACATTTACCCACAAGTATTTACTGCCCTTATGATGAAATATGTATTGTGTTTCATTTTGGCAAAGCAACTTTGACTTGACGCTGCCCGTTTTAGTAGCTCATCCAAAACACAAAAAAGACTATAAAAGAATAAATGCAGTCTTCTTTTAACGAACACGCAACCCGACTCCCCAGCAGTTTTATTTTTAGGTGGTGAAATGAGAGCTGTCGGCTAAAGCGGCAACATTTATTCAGCTATTGTCGACGCACAACAGATTAGGGGCAGCGACGCAGAGGCTTTAAAAAAAAGAATTAAAACACAAATCTCCGAGTGGACGGCGGCATCATGGAGCCCCGTGGCGTTGTCACGTTCAGGGACCGGGGGTAGATGCAGGTACGGCTCACAGCCGAGCGGAGGAACTCCATCAGCTGCTCCCCCTGCGTTTACTGGCTGGCCCGCCTGCGACATGATACCTAGTTTTCAGTGCTCCTGCGTTTGTCAATCCTTAAATGCGGCTGGAGGGATGATTTCATGAGCTCTTTTACTGTCACCTGTCAGGCCGGTAACGTTGTTGAACGGTAATAAGCGTCCCATTTGAAAACGCAGCTCGGCATTTCGTTTATTTACACAAAGTTTCCCTCAGAGCAGCAATATAAAACGGTTTAACTGGAAAAGTTGAACAGTATTTCTCCAGCTGTAGGGCGAGCTGTTCCATAGACATCTGCTCGTAGTTTAGACTTTGGCACGTCCTACTCTTTTGTAAGAAATTAAAAAAATTTAAAAAAGAAGCTCTTTTTGTTTTCTTGGCCTTCAAAGGTCACATTTCGTTTGAGCCGCAGCTCGTCTATCTAAGGAATCTGCACCTCTGAATGTCAACATAATGTGAGGATTAATGGAGAAATAAGCACGAATTAAGGTTTTATCGTGTCAGTTGGTTAGGCCCTTTCCTTCTTTCCGTCAGTTCGAAATAACAATTAAAAAGCATAAAATAATGAAATATTGTTTTGGCCGAAATCATCCGTCTTATCCGTCTTCTGTATTTGGTACGAGGAAAGCGGCATTTAAAGGCTCTTGTGGATCTTATTGTGATATTTCAGCGTCCTTGGTTCCTCCCAGCCAGTGAAAACATACACACTTGCTGCAGGTCGCCAGTTGTCATCGAGCAAACCGCTTCCACGAGTTTAGCACTGATTCTCCATGAGCCTGAACATTTAAACAAGTTGAACAAGATAATGTGGGGAAATATGTTGTTTGCACTGGAATTAAGTTAATTTTATTGCTATTTCATTTACAGCAAAAAAAGAAAGAAAAACACATTTTATAAGGTTTATGTATTCTATTAGAATTAATTAAAAACAAAGAAAGTATGACCCATTTGGGGTGCGGAGGACGGCAGAGGGGCCTTCAATGTTCATACGGCATCAAAGGGGGGCTCGACGGAAAAAGTTTGGGACCCGCTGCTCTAGACCAATGTGAAGTTCTGCTCTTGTGGGACAGTTTATTTTGGAGTTTGAATCACCAGTGACCTAACTGGGGCTGGCGAGGAAGTTTCAACGGGTGACAGATCGCAGATTTGATGTGAAGTCTCCAGTGGTGGATGACAGCTCAGATCTATGGCCCATTTACAGAAGTTTCTATCTCTGAAATAAAAGTCTGAACAGCAATGACCGGAAATACTCCAGATGCATTATCGGAGGGCGTTAAAGGAATCTAAATTTAATGTGGTACACAGTGACCCAAGTACTGCCGTTGCTTGGCTCCGCGCTGCTCTTTGCCTCTCTGATATGAGTCGGGGCCCCTCACAAGAGGCCCGCGGGGAGGGCGGCGCTCACAGGGGTCTGAAGGATCACTCCGTGGGGTTGTTACGTCGCATCTATGGCGCTCGGCCGGGATCGTTACCAGCAGCATCCCTGACACCGATATCCATGTGCTTTATGAACAAAGTCATACTAGATACTTCATGCAGGCTGCAGAGCGTTGACGTGTGATGAAAAATCTCCCGATGTGCGTGTCCACGCTTTAAAAACGGGTGACATTGTAAAACGTAAGGTATGTTAGTCAAACCGCTCACCTCAAGAGCCTCTTAACCCTTATTTGTCTTGCTTTCTGAAGACCTAAGACCCGGCAGCGCCGTTGAGCGGATGTGCACTGTGACATCTGTCTGGGATGGAAATGGGAATAGATGTTGCACATCGTAGCCAGCTTGTATAAGCTTGTATAAATGAAGACGGGTAACAAGGAAGAATAGTGCATGTGTGCT